TATATATATGGTTTCCTTTTAAGAGCAATCGTTTCAGATTTCGACTGAAAGTCTAAATTATAATTGACTCAGTACAATGACAAACATGAGTTAGTTTTATGTGGTGGACAGGGGCTTCTACAGTAAATATGTTAGCAAAAACCTATAATGAAAAGTTCCCAGACTGATTACAGATTTATCTTTTGAGCAAATACACATTTTTACAAACCACAACTGYTATTTTCTCAGCTTTAATTTAAGCCATACTTTATAGAAAATCAGATAAAAAATGATGATGCTATGAATATTTTTGTAACAGACTGATGCAGCTCTTCCATTGAAACTGTATCGTTTTGTTGACATGACTCAGTGAACAGTAATGGCTGCTATGGTGGAGTGTCGCTAGCTATAAAAGCTATACGTGATGTCCAATCCAGTTATACAGATCAATCATCATCATCATCATCATCATCATCATCATCATCATCATCATGCCCAGAATGCATTGTGTCAATAACAAACTGGTGAAGTAATTACATGTTTACGTGTCAAAAACAACTAATTTTAGTAGAAATAGATCCAGACCATCATGTGCAAACAGAGACAGTGTATCGTCTCCTGACCAAACACCTGACCCATAAAAGGTGTTCCACCACAATCCGGTCTGGGCTTCAGTAGCTCAGACCTCACAGAGATCAGATCCAAATCAAACGTATCAGACCCTCACTGTGTGATTTCCAGCAACGTGTCAAGCATGCAGAAACAGCTGAAGCTTCTGCCTGGACCTACAGAATAAAAGCTCCTGTCCTGGTCTCACTGCAGAGACTCACCTCGTCRTCGTGGACCAGCTCCTTCTTCACCACCTTCATGGCGTACGCCTGCTCGTTCTTCTTCAGCCGCACCAGCAGCACCTTGGCGTAGCTGCCCCGCCCGATCACCCGGATCAGCTCGAAGTCGCTCAGGCTCAGACTGGCGCCCTGGGACAGCTTGATGCTGTCCAGGCCGTCCACCACCGCGCTGATGTCCTTCAGGCGGCTCAGGTCCGGGTCCTGCGGGGGGACGGGGGGAGTGAGTTTAAGCTCAGGTGTTTTTAGAGAAGAGGAGCGAGAGGAGGAAGGTCTCACCTCTGTGTCGGCGTCGTCTGGTTTATCCACGGCACAGTTGTGTGGCAGAAACGATACTGAGAACGACAGAAACAGGAAAAGTTTCTATGTTTAGACTAGTTTTATGTGACAAAAATGTCACATAAATTAAAACAAAACGTGTTTTTCTTTCTTTGGCCACCAGAGGGAGACAGAGATTAGAGTCTGGTGCTCAGAACAGGAGTCACCAAGGTTTCTTAAGTCTGTTAGCAAAATATCTTCTGAACAACTAGTGGGGTTTTAGTAAAACTGTCAAAACACATCTAAAACTGATTTTAAAATATGAATTATTTCAGTTATTAAGAATATAAACATAAAAATAGACATGAACTAAGATTCTCTGAGGGAGAAAATGCGTGTCGCCCGCTGCCTTGCAGGTCAAAATTAAAACAAACATCTCTACAACCTGAAAGCCCTCAAAGTACATGATGGAGATGATGATCAGTTACTACCACATCATTTTTCAGCTCAATATTTATAAAATAAATCCAGAGTTATGTTCATTTTTGTTTTTAACCTCTCAGGCCCAACACACCRTTACTGAGGGCAAAMATTTMACTTTATCTCCTACTTTTCTACATCTGGGTTTATGGTTTCTATGAGRTTTTCTAAACTAATTCATGATATTTGAAAAAGTTTTATATACTGTGTAATTAAATTATTACATTTGGGTGTTTTACTTTGAGCACAAACTTCAAGGAAACACTTTGAGGCTTAAGAGGTTAAAGTTGACGTCTTAATTTAGGTTAACATCAATCCAACCCAACTTTATTTGTAAAGCACTTTTTGCACCACAGTAGACCAAAGTGCTGTACAGAATCCACATTCCAACACAGCTCATACAAAAACAAACTCAATCAAAATTTAAATAATAAAAAAACACAGAAAAAATAAAAGCATGTAATAAAAAAAATAAAATGCCTAAAACCTCATTTAAAATATACAATAAAAACAAGACAATTTCTACAAAAAAAAAATACATCAAAAGGTTTTGGGATTATTTTCTAAGAGTTTTGTTAAATCAGTCCAGTGGGTCAGGAGATATTTTGCTAACAAACACACAAGAACATGATTGCCCCATGTTGTAGCAACATGTGACCTCAGCACTCTGCCTCAGAAGAATAAAGGAGGAGGTGAACAGTAGAACAGGAAAACAAGTAGTAGAAATAGAAGAAAAAGTACTAATATTAGTAGTACTAGTACTAGAAGAAGATGTAGTAGTATCTTACTCCCATCTGTGTCCTCTGTGTCGTCTGGTGGAAGGTCCACCTCTTCGCTCTTGGGGTCTGAAGGGGGCTCCTGTGATGGCATGGCTGGATCCTGGAAAAACAATTTGGCAATTTCATCCAAATATCCCCCGACGTGGTCTCCCAGGTACCCGGCCACGTACCCGCTCATGGTTTGCCACTCCCGGCACAGCTGGTGCTGAATCATGCCTGTGAGGACCTGAGTGGAGAACTGCATCTGGACAGCTGCTAACGGCTAACTGCTAACGGCTAACGGCACAGAGAGACAAACGACGGTGCGGGGGGATTCCCTGGAAGCGAGTGTTCAAAGCTACGAGTGTTTTATCTGAGACTGAAGACGAGGCTGTTAATCAGTACTCTGACAGCCCCCAGGAGGACTCGCTGCAGAGCTAACACTATTGATCACATGGATTATACAATCAAGACTTTTATCTTTGGGGGCTGGGTTTTTAGGATCTTTTGCACTGTGGGGGGATTGATTGATTACGTGGAGCTCACTGTTTGTCATTGTGATGACTTTGTTTGGAAAAGAAGCCGAGCAGCAGAAGAATGGGGCCCAAAAAAAACGGATTTAAAACTAAAATTTGCTGCTTGCAACTGTAAACCAGTAAATCCATAATAAACCAGGGAAAAGGTCACTGATTATAGAATAAATAGGACAGTTTATTTGGAAGTTGCCACACAGCAAAGTATATTTTTCTAATTTCTAGTCAACGTCTCATCACCTTTAACCTCCTGAGACCCAGCGTCCTCATATGAGGACAATGMTTTTTTTGCCTCTCTGCACTGTTACTTATCATTTTCAACTTTAACCCACTGGCCTCTTTAAAGACATTAACAGCATGTCTAATTCACAGAACATAACACTCATTTCAGTCAAAACAAGATGGTGGGAACACCAGCCAAAAAGCTCATCAGAAAAGCAGACAATGTAAAAACACAAATCACATTTCTTGTTTGAAACCCATGTATTTATGCAGTTACATCTTTTTATAAAGCAAGCAAATTTGACATTTTCTTTGCAATTGCAGCGGCGTACAGTGTTTGTAAAGATGAAGTCCTCATTTGAGGACATTGGGACGATATTTCATTATTTATTGTACCATGAGGTCGGATAAATCTGGGAATATCTAGACCAGTGTTTATCTGGTTAGAGTCTGGTACCAGTGTTATCTGGATCAGCGCAGTCTGGTACCAGTGCGAAGCAGAACTCACCATAAGCCTTTGGCAGGTCTGGGGGAAGAGTCGGTGACAGCGCTTATGGACCAGCAGTTTGCACTTGATACACTTGTAGCCCTGCCCTCCCAGCCCCCATATCCTTTCACTACAGTGGCCACAGTAGGCTTTCTGAAAGACACAAACACAAAAAACACAAACAATAACAGCTCGGTCTTTGGTTAATACTATTTATTTATTTATTAGGTATTAATAAACAAAAAAAAAAACAAGTAAAGTGGAAAAGCTGCCAATGATTCTCCAATTGAACCCATTTCCAGTTACAGGACAAAAAAGAACAGATTTTTTTCACAACTTTATTGTAAGAAATACGTGTTCAATATCGACTSAAGTCAAGATGAAAAAATTGTTAAATAAACTGATTTGTGAAAGGAATAAAGTCATACAACACCAGAATTCTGGATCTGAGTGAGGTTTACTGTCACCGGACTGACAAGCGAAACCACACTGGYTCAAAGTCAGGAAGTGCACATTTTTATACACGATTCTTCAATGCCTGAGTTCGCCCCCTRCTGACCTACGGCTGAATCACAGGCATTCATACAAAAACCTCAAACTAATGTTTTAAAACAGTTCACTTATGTGTTGCTTATGATCCGGACATGTAGCTACTCTATTTCAATTAACACATAATAGATCAAACATTATAAAAGTATTATAAAAAGGAAACCCTTCAACACTCTAGTGTTGTTTTCTAATATCAGTACTAATCTATAATAACTATAAATTTCTTCATTATATTAAAACACTTCATTAAAAAATTTTTTTTATAATGTTTGAAGATATTGTCTTTAAAGACTGCTTTTTGTCACCAAACATTAACAAAACCTGCCAAATAAAACCCAATCTTTACTTTAACAGCCACGGTTAAACAACATTAAACACATTTTAACCCAGATTAAAAAGTGCTAATATCAGCAAATCTTTAGTTAAATTTGTGGTCCTCTCATCAAATTCACAAACTAAATCTCTGATCGGCTCATTAACGACGAGTTTGTTTTATTTTTTTACCTTTAGCCGTCATCTGAACAAGAAAGCTTAGCCAAACAACTGGTTGTCCTTCACAGCAGCAGCTGTTTGAAGCMGTAAGGAGCCGAGCTTCGGAGTGGCTGAGAGTCATCCCAACAACAAACCATGAAGGATCTTAGATGGAAACCTTGGCTGCAGGTGGTGTTTGATTGTGAAGCAGTTTGATTTGCTGAATTTTGAGTTTATTTGGAAGAAATTTGAATACAAACCTGAACAAGTTGAATTAAAACCTAAAATTTGTGATGAATATTATATTTTATCCTCTGGCGTGTCTGCTGTAAGTATTTTTCCTGTGCAGGGCTCAGACTGTTCTTTTCTTCTACATCTACTACAAAATGAACCGTCTTTAGGATCACTGCGTTATGTAACCTCCTCTCCTGAGAGCTCGCTCTTCTGTGTGAGTTTCTTTTAAAGCTCTCRTCTTTATTAGAAGCTCAGGRTGTTCGTTTGCACCTCGTTGTCCCCGACATCCAGAAATCTGTCAGCAAAATGCTTCTGAAGGGATCAGACACTTAAGAGTCAGCGTACGTCTCTGGTTGTATCAGTAGGTTTCATTCACAGAGTGTGTGTGTGTGTGTGTGTGTGTGTGTGTGTGTGTGTGTGTGTGTGTGTGTGTGTGTGTGTGTGTGTGTGCGCGTGCGCTGACAGTGCAGGAGAACAAAGGCTCCCAGTCACTGATCCGCTTCAACCAGACTTCAAAGGTTTCTTACAAACCCGACTGAGGCTCAGGAGCACATTCAGACGTTCCTCACAAACCTTTGCAGCGTTTCGGCTCTCGACTCTTTGCTGCAACAAATAACACGAGTACAGATAAAAAAAAAGACATGCCATACTAGAGCTGCATGATGCATCGTTTCAGCATCGTCACTGTAACRTACGTGGGTGCAAAGGTCACCCTGCAGGTGCTACGATGTAGGAGGGAGATTAAATTAACCTGTTCAAGAGACTAAACAACTAAACCAGCAACCTTTATGATCAAAAGAGCCATTTCTGCATTCTGTCTCACTGATAAAATGTGTCCAGAGCTGCAAAACAAACTACAACTGTGATTTTCAACTGGTGGTCCAGGGGCCTATTCAAGGCCTTTTCAGGAACTTTTACGGCCAGTGGAGGTGACATTATAAAACTAAAAAATATGTTGTGAATTTTAATATTTATTATTATTTTTACACATAAGGACAAATGAAAAGACCAGATTCCTGTAAACAAGAAAAACACTATAGTTTTAACGAAATTTCATAAAAATTAGTACAACTGAAGTATTCAGGCATATTGTTTTTTCTAATTGTTATTATGTAGTCCTCAAATTGTTTAACRGTAATTCTGATGGATTTGAGAAAAAGATCATAGAAAGAAGTTGGATTTTTTAAAATAAACATACTAGCATGAGCTAATCAACAGGTTTTGATCACATATTTACAAACAAATTAATTTTTGTTGCGAGTATAAAAACCAAAGAATTAAAAAATAAAATTGTGTTGTTTTTTTGTCACATCTTCAAAGAGCCACTACAGAGGGACCAAAGAGCCACATATGGCCCTAGAGCCACAGGTTGCAGACCMCTGAACTAAACAATAAGTCATTGCACTAAACGGCCACGTTGTTGCAGCTTTTATTTTGAAGGGTTAGTGTTAATCTTTCATTTTATTGTGAAATGTCTGGGACAATAATTTTACTTTTCGGAGAATTGTTGTCGGGGAATTCTCGAGCTGTGGAGGAAAACGACTAGGATCTTGACAAAAATGAGGGAAGATGAGCACGTTTAAAGAGAACTGGAAGAAGAGAGATAAAATATGGTTAGCATGAATGCTAATATTAAAGGGAATAGATGCAACACGTTAAAGGGGACATATCCTGCAAAATCCACTTTTTTATCTGTTAAATTCATTTTGTTGTGGACTTAGAGTCTTTAGGAGGCAGAAAAGTTGAATTTAGTCTCTCCTGGTGCTGCAGAGATATCGTTATATTCTGTTTGGGTGGATCTCTGGTTCTGGGTCAGACTCTGGTTCTGGGTCAGACTCTGGTTCCAACATGTAAGGCTGGATGGACAAATCTTCTGTCTTTTATCTCTCAATTAAATTGTATACAAAACGTTTCTGCAATCTAGAAAACGTAGCCCCCTCTTTTAAACCGAAGTGGACCGGACTGGAAGCCGGAAGGGGGCGGGGCTTGAAGCGTCTTAAAGGAACAGTAACAAAACGAGCTGCTTTGAGACACACATCATTAAAGTGCTAAAAGAGGAGCTGGTAAAGTTAGAATTTCAGAAATTCAGAGCAAAGCTTCATAGTTCCACTTTATAAAGACCCAACTGAAGGATTTAAATGTGAAAAAGGATTTAAAAGCTGGATATTTCTACTTTAAGTGATAAAACACAATTCATGTTAGCAGATGATAGAAGGAAATATGTCCTCACATCACAGACGATAAAAGATAAGAAGAACTCAAGGTTCATCATCAAGATGGCAGCAGAACTCAGTGTCCTTAAAGTCATCTGTTAAAAATTCCTGGATTAAAAAAAAAGTTCAGTTTTTACCAACATGGTGCAGTCTTAGAGTCATTGAGCAAACTAGGTTTTTGATGCCACACAGGTTAGTTTTGTGCCAATTTATTAACTATATATCAATAAATCAGTCGATTAGACTCACTCAAACTCAACTTATGTGTAACCTACTAACAACTTGTCCACAGAATCAGACTATGAACAAGACCAAAGATCAAAGACCAGTCTAATCATGTCAGGAACCAGAATATAGATCTGTACAAAACTGGAATATACTACAAGACCATTAACAAGAAGYTCAACTACTGGTGTCACTGTTTAAAATCATGTTTCGTCTGGAGCTCAGGGCAGGATGTTTCCTCATGAGGAGGATGATGATGATGATGAGAAAGATGAGGGAGGAGTTCAGTGTCTGTAAGCAGCTGATAACGTTGGCACATTTAACATCAGTCTGAGTCAGTTTCATGTGTTTGGGTTTAAATTTGTAGCTTTGGGGTCGTTTATTTTGTCATATATCAGGAGACAAACAGACTTCTACCAGTGTGTCGTGTTTAAGAGGAGCACTAAACGACAGAACCGGGGAGAGATGGAGAGGAGGAGTAAGAGAGAGAGGAGGATGAAGGTGTGGAGACTGACAGAGAGGGAGGAGAAACCTGACCTACTTCTCTTCCTCTGTTTGATATGCTGAGGATGCAACAAGTCAGGAACATCCAGAGTCCAAAACAAACTAAACTCTGGCTTTAGAGCCAACTGTAAACTGACTGACAGTTAAAAAACACATCAACTAAAACATGGAAAACTGATTTGTTGTTGAATCTGAGAAAACTTTAATTTTAAGGTGTGCTGTTTTAGGTAAGGCCCAGTCACATTAGACAACTTACGAAACACATTTTATGTTTAAATTGCTAATAAAAGTTATATATTTGATCAGTATGTTTGAATTACATTATGTACACGCTGAAAAGAAGCTTCCTGTTGGTTTTTTTTTAATTCCATCATCAATGTATCTTCAATTACATTTAGTTAAAGGAGTTGTTATAATCTCAAGGGGACAGAGATGTTTGTTAAACCTAAAACTCATTGTTGTTGTTTAACACTGTTTTTAACACTGTTTTTAACATTGTTTTATCAGTGATAATAAAGCTTATTCTATTCTATTCTATTCTATTCT